AATCACATGCGGCCTAGACTGAACCCTTTGGCTGCTTGCTGGGGTCTCATGTACTGACTGGGAACACCTCACAGAGGCATTCCGAAAGCTATCATGATAAGTCGACGTTGAAGCCGACTCTGATTGCTGAGTTCTCCTCTCCTCAATGTATTGCCGAGCGTCAGAGAACGTTCTCTTGCTACCATCCGGCTGTATGTGCCGGATGGGTTTTCTTGCGCCCGAATCTGGGAAACGGAGCCGATTAAGGTCAAATTGGGGCCTGGCCTTCTCCTTAGGAGCAGGATGAGGGGTCGGCTGACGGTCCCTGACCGACTTTTGTTTGCCAGCTTGGGCTGGCTTCTTGGCCGACTGCTCCTTTCTAGGATTAGGCAACTTCTTTGAGGCGAGCTGCTTGATTTCACCCCTGAGGCTGCTCAGGAGTGCCATTAGCTCATCCCGAGTGACGGGAGTTGATCCTGCCGCCTGGGTAGGATCAACCGGCCGCCCTGAGGGCTTCTTTGGCTGACCAGCAGTTTTGCTTGGTCCTGCCTGAACATGGGGACGCTCTCGCCGTTCCTTACTGCGGATGCGTTTAGAGATGAGGGATCCATTTGGATCCACATAGGTTTCGACATCAGCGTCGTCACCTGAGTCATGGTCCTTTTGGACCAGTACATCATTTGGAGGCCGAATGGCCTCCGGATTTGGTACAGGTTCTTGTGAAGCCATTTTAGAGGTACTCTCCCCACAGACGGCGCCAAATGTTTCGGGGGTTTTTGTCCCTCGGGAGAGTTACAACACTGAAACTGGATTCAACTGAGGATGCTTGTACCTACAAAGCAAACGGACCGCCGGATGGTCGGTGTTCCGCCTCCGAAGATTAAGTCAGTAAACGTTCGGAGATAAAACATGCGGAAGTAAAGTTATCTGCTTGGATTCCAAGCTCAGGTAAAGTGGTGTGTGTTCCTTGAAAACGACAGCTCTGTGGTAAGTGACGTATGGTCTCGTATTGCGTGTCAAAATTCTCTCCCTGTCATAAATGACATAATGTCCCTATTTATAGGGTCCTTTTGAAAAGTGTGCATTCCTAGGATCTGGTGACCTAGTAATTAGGTCACGCCGTTTTGCGGCGCCTCGGGATTTGGGCCTTAGAAGGCCGCCATCCCAAGGCCAATGCCTGAGTGACACGTGTCACTGTGCCCAAAGGATTTTGATGCACTTTTTGTGTGACACGTGTCGCCACCTGAATGGTCCCTGCTGGACCTTCAGTCCACGTAGGACGGAGAAGAGTCCACCCTCCACGTGTCATCATTCCATAGGTCCAAATGGCACCTATACGGAGGACACGTGGCACTTTATGATTGGGCCACCTGGCTGGGTATAAAATACTCAAATCTTAAACATAATCAAGCAGTTTCATGGCATAAAATTTGATAAACAAAGAGAATTAAGCAATTCTAATTTCAAATTTTCAAGAAATTCATGAACAAATGCATGAAAAATTCATTAAAAACCGGGGTGAGTTTGAAGGAAACTTACATTGATCGGGAAAATGGATGGAATAAGCTTTGATTTGCAACAAATTTGAGCGAATTTGGTTGTGAAATGAGCAAGAACGAATGAATTGAAGTTCTGAGCGAATTCTCGAGCAAGAAACGAGCAGCAGCAACGGAAATGAAGAAGAGAAGGGTATTTAAGGAAAATCCGACTCTAGCGCCAAGCGTCAGACCATGGCGTCAGTCGACAAGGCTTAGCGCCTCAGTGTCTGGCGCTACATCCAAATAAGCGGCGCTAGCGTTATTTCAGTGGCGTCAGATTTCTCATCCACTCAGTACGGTTTTTCCAACCTTGTGCAATATGTTTTGGGTTTCTTGGTATGCCATTTAGCCCCTCTAAGCAATTTGACGTGATTTTTAGTAATCAACTTGCTTACAATTACATAAAGTGATCGACCTGATGAAAGATCGTCTCACTTAGCTTAAAGCGCCTAAGCATTGGCTCATCGCAAAAGGCACTGACATATTGGTTTATTCAGAAAGGCACCGACATACTGGTTCATCAGCGAAAGGCACCGACGTACAAGTTCAAAAACAGAAGAAGCGCCGACGTACAGGCTTGGCAGAAACAAAGTTCAAGCGAGCTTTTAAAGATCAACAAGCGTGGGTCTTAGGTAATTTTTCATTGGAATATTATCGCAACGAATGAGGATAGCTTCAAGCGACGATATCTTCGGCAACGTTCCCTAGCTTGCGGAGAGTTGTCACAAACAACTGGAGGTCGTTTCAAGCGAAGCAATCTTCGATGGGGTTCTCTAACTTGAAGAAGTCTATCATGGCGGAGTTGGAGGCAGTTACAAGCGTAGCAGTCTTCAGGCGGCATTCTCTAGCTTGTAGGAGGTCGTCAAAAATACAAAAATACAGGAATATAGTAGCAAATCGGTTACCTTCAGAGACGTGTGCTCGACGGTGCAAGATACGTGTTTCTTAACTATTTTATCTGTTTAACTAACGCTAGTTTGCAGGTATTGGCGTTACAAGAATGATTTAGGATCGCAGAACGTTCTGAATCATTCTCCGTCCCTATCGATACTTTGACTTTTGTTTTTGAAACTTGCGTTTCTCCAAACTCAGTCAAAGTGGGGGCTTCTGTTGACACCCATTTGAGTCTCCCCAAAACCAAACCCGGTGATGAGTACCTTTCACTTTAATCATAATCGAATGAAGTGAAAGTGCGGAAAGTCTAGTGTTGCAGATAGTTTTAATTTCTTTTCTTTTCTCTCTGTTTTTGGAAACCTATTTTAAGAAAACAGACAATCCAGTTTGGTTGGTCCATGATATGGGTCCAATAGTAGTGTAGTTTAAATAGGTTTGAAAATATCTTTCCAACGATATATTATAAGCCCAATTCCGATGAATATTGAGGAACTTATGGCCAAATTACTAAACAGGGCCCGATTTGAGCCTTATATGCGGCCCAATGATCTAGGGGAGGGCCTAATATGGATTAATCATTCCTAATGCAATTAGGAATGATTTTAGTCTTCTAGATTCTTCTAGAAGGTTCTTTTCATTCCTAATTCAATTAGCATTGATAAATTGACTTTTGTTGACTTTTAAGAGTTTTAATCAGAATAAAAGAATGTTTTTTGAGGAAAATTCGATTTATCCTTCTGTACGGTTAATTTCTATCTGATTTTAGAAAACGCTTCAGAAATTTAATCAGCGCCTGGCGCGAATGTCAGCGTCTAGCGCTAACCTTGTTTTTGCGCGTCAGAACTCCATTTCGATTTTCTATCTTTTTGGCTGATTTTCTTTATAAATGGCCTTCTAAAAACTTCGTTTTCATTCACCAACTCTCATCAAGAAATTCTTGATATAAGCTTTTCTCTCTTTTCTAAACCTACTCTTTCTCAAATACAAAATTCTCGAAGTTACTAACGTGTGTATTTTGTTATTAGAAAGAGGTACGAGCATCCAAGTAAGTGCTTTAATGGTTTTTATTCATGTTATTATGTAGAACTCATGCTTAGGTTTTTATTATGATTCCTAGTATCATGTTAGGATGTTTTCCTTAATTTGATGTTTAGGGTGAAAACAATAAATTCTAGTATCATGTTTAGGGTAACTTTAATATCAAGTATGATTAAAAGTTTGATGCCTTTTATGTTCTTCCTAATATTCATGATTATTAGTATCATGTTAGGGTTAAAGCTTTGATTTTGATGCTTAGTGACATGCTAAGGTTTGTTATTAATCTTATAGTATCATGCCTAGGATCTTGCTATTATTATACTTTATTTTTAACATGAACATGATTATTTTTATTATGATTATAATATTATAATGATGATTATTATTATTAATTTTTGATTATTATTGTGTTGCTTGATATATATTTATTGTTATTGCTTGATCACACCTTTTATGCATTTTTAAAGGAATTTTGGTACTTGTAATCACGCTTAATAAGATAATTAATAATCTTGTTAGGGTTAATTTGATTATAATTCAATTGATCGCCAATAATAGTATATTTGTGCATTAATATTCAACCAACATAGATAAATAGGTTTAGGGTTAATCCTATTGATTTCATGTTAGTCCGAAAGCGCACATGAATACGATTTGAATAAAGTAAAGGCCTATTATTAGGGCAGGTTCAAACTCTTTTAGGTTGGATTTGTACCTTCATCCCCGAACTACCAGTCATGGTTCCAGACCTATTGGAGTTGACGATCTCTTGGATCGTTAAGGGGTGTAACCTTCACCCTGTGAACGGGGTTTACAAGTTCCTAAAACTTGTTGGCGACTCTTTTGCTCTATCTTATTTCCCTTTGGACGCCACCGTACTTTAGTGTATGATCACAGTGGGGTCCAAGCTAGGGATAATGCATGAAATATTCCCTACACTGTGACACTTCAGTAGTTCAGACATCGACCAATCTTCCAGCAGGACCAGGTTAAAGAGAACAGCTAGGACTCCATCTTTATAAGAAATGCAATCTCCAAGGCCAACTCTTTACTTCTCATGTACCTGTTCTCTTCAACTATCTCAGTTGTTAAGTTAAGCAGAATAGGGCGAGCTGGGTCATATATTGTACGTTCTCGGACACGTGCAGCCCATTTTGCAGCTTCCCATACACCAAATCAAATTTTTGGAGCAGGAAGGAGGCATAACATATAAAGGGGTTAGTGTTTAATATTATGCATCTGATTGACTGTTTAACAAACATAACAGAGAGACTGAAATGTACAAAAATAAAAGCGGTTGCGAAATGAAACAGAGAGTACAAGTAATAAATAAATGAGTATTTGTGTAAGTGGATTGGGTTCTAGGAAAGAGTAGAGCTATACAACAGGCCAACACTCAATAGCACAACCATAAAACGACAATAAGAAGAACAAACAGAAATAACTCCCCAATAATAATCACAGAAGCAACACAGCAACGGCTGAGATGAACAATAGCTGCTTGTGCATCAGAGAATACAACAACAAAATAAGAATAATAATAACAACTGAAGCCAAAATCAAAAGCACAAACATAACAAGTATTACTTTGAGCCAAGGGAAAGAGTAGCAAGATATCAAAGGCATAAACATAAAGGAAAAACAAACAACTAGAGATATAAAGTAAAAATCTTGCAAGCGTAAATAGTAAAAAACAATCCAATCCATAGTGCCTTTTACGATTTATGTTGGACACTGGTATAAGTCTTAGACAACAACAACAACTTATTTATATTGGACGCTCTGAAGCCTAGAGTTAGCCTCAGACACGGTGGCCAAAGAAGAGCGTAACGCCTCCTCCTTACCGTCGTGATCGTCCATGTTTTGAACGGTCTCAAGCCTCCTTTCAACCTCCATTCTTTGGCCTTATTGTTACCAGATCTCGAACTCGAACCCGAACTCTTGTTTTTATTTTCCTTAATTAAACCGTGCAACTGTTGAAACTTGGCCTCTTTCTGCTGTTGTAGAAATTTAAGAACCCTGGTGTCTCTCCTAGCCACAACCTCTCTAGCCTATTGTTCTGCAATCAATAGATCCCATGAAAATTCTTCATTGCTGCCTCAAACAGAAATTAACATGAAAAGAGGTGTAATTCAACTGAAATAAAAGCAAAAACAGAAACATGTATAAAAAAATTGCAATTCCATCTAGATAGTAGGAACTTTCAAGTCATACAAGTATAGATTGTTTCAAGGTCCCTGTATAAACTGATTATACCACAAAAACCCAGAATTCAACACAAAGCAAGTAGAGAGAAATAGATTAATAATTTCATTTTCATTCTTCACATGGCTATTTGAATTTTGAGAGTAATGATATTTTGTGACTCAACTATTTATGCTTTCAAATTAGCTTGTGCAGAATAATTCTCCCATCTTCTCATGAAAGCATAAAACAAAGCCCAATGCTTGCATTGCTATTAGTAGGAAAATAATTAACCTTGCCAAAAGAAGAAAACGAGGAATTACCATAATAAGAAGTTTGGAAAAAAGTGCAACCCCAACAGCGATAAGCATCATTGGCATGGTAGTTGTATCGTAAAACGACATGGACTCTAGAACATCAACAAAAACCTCAGTTTTCTTTGGATTTCTTGCCTTCCTCTTTTTCTCAAGATCACTACCTTTCTCTTTAGGGTTTCACTTGGTGTATCATGGGAAACTGTATGCAAACTTCGGAATCTCCGTAATAAGAAAAGACTTCCCCAAACCTTATGTATGGTAGCCTAGAAATTTAATCAGCCTGGTAACCACACATAAAGTCACTAACTGAAAGCTTCAAAACAATCAAGTCGGCAATTCGACATGATTTACACCTAAATTAGCCAAGTTGATGATAGCATATATTTCTATTTTCAATAACACAAAACAGGAGAATTACCAAACTCTAAAGTCATATACTTTGTAAGCATTACACTCGAAAGTACAACAAAACTAAAGCTACATCGGCCAATTTCATAGTACAATCCTAACAATAAAGGGTTGTGCAATACATTAGCAATCAAATTTGATTCAATTATGATATAAAGCTCAAAAAATCACATCATTTTAAGGATATGAGATTCTATTATCAAATTAGGCTCATAACCGTCTCTATTCCTCCTTGCCAATTATAATAATTATCTTTTCAATAGTTATCACTAAATATTATCATGTAAAATCTTTCAAGTTTTTTTCAACTATATTTCTGAAAAATATAAATAGAACATAATCAAAGATAATGATAATTAATAATCAAAGATTAACCTTATAGACACCTTAAAAAGAGATTGCGATGAAATTTCAAAGACAAATCTTGATGACAAGGGAGAATTGAAACAAAAAAACTTTTGATTTCACAAAGAAATTTAACCAATTTCATAAGGCGATACAACAATTTATAGGCCGATTATGCACTAATAAATCAATATAATAAACAAATATAACGCAGTATAATTTAAACATTTGACCCATATTATTATTAAAAAAAACCCTAAAATTAACAAATTCCAAGGTTCAAAAGCCAAATTCAATCAAACATACTGGAAATTAGGGATGATCCCAGATAGATGCTCAAAAGCCAAATAAAATTTAACCAAATCAAATCAATACCTTTCTCGAGATTCTTCCATGTCAATTTCGCTTTCTTTCCTTTTTTTGAAAATCAAATTGGGGAAAATTGTTAACTTCTTCACCATTATATTAAAATTAAACCCTAAATTGCAAAAATTCAGCACAAAATATCCCAAAATCCAGTACCCAGAAACTTAAATCAATTAAAAACAACATAAATTTCAAAAAATAGTTGAATCAACTCAGACAATCATCGTTTACTACATTCAAACTGATAAATCTTCCAACTTAATATTCAATGATTACAAAGAGAAAAATCTTACCTAGCATCGGTTCTTCAACGACTTAGATCTAAAGAGGAAGAAGCCTACGAGCTTGGTTGTTCTCAACGGGCCACAATCGACGCTAACCGGGTTCGGACCCTAGTCAAATCAGAGTGGGTTTTTTAGCAAGAGTTCCGTCACTGCCGGTGACACATCCGCCCAAAAACGATGCCGCTTGGGAGCTCTTGTATGAAGCCGCCGGTCAAGTTGCTCGTATCAAGATGAATGCCATTGCAGCTCAAGTATTGGAGAGGGGAGGGAGGAGAGGTGAATGACGGGGAGGGGAGAAGAGGAGAGGGGAGAGAGAGGGAGTGAGGGACTAATGAGAGAGAAAGAGGTGAAACCCTAAAAAGCAAGTATTGGGCTCCTCTCATTATTTAAGCCAAGTTTGGGCATTTACGTGTAATATAGTATTCGTAACGGGAAAAATAGTGTTCGTTACGAATACTTATTTATTCGTAACGGGCACTATTTTTCCTGTTACGAATAAATAAGTATTCGTAATTGACACTATTTTGCCCGTTACAAATAGCCTGTTACGAATGAGATTTTTACCACTAGAGCTAGGAACATCACTAACAAAGCTCAATCGACAAATGCGAGCTATAAATCAATGGTCCGTATCAATGTAGACTCACAATGCAATCTAGCATAATTCTCAAGGCCTAATTGAATTGCACACATGCACAATTTCCATTAATCACTTTAATCTCAACAAATAATCAACACAATTCCCAAATTACCACAATCAATCAATCGTAAAAGTTTTACCCAATCCCTAGCCAAACATCTACTCTAACATCATCATCTAATCAATTAACAATAAGGAAATCAAGATTAAAAAATATGTGAAGAACAACTAAACTAATTAAGAATCAAACATCAAAATCAATCCAAACAATCTTGAATATTAAACAAGCAATAAAATGAGATAGAGTTAGAAATGCTTATTGAAAATAGAGAAGATCTTCAACACAATTCTCACCATTGAATCTTTAATCTCTCAATCACCATTGAAATTCCTCACTTTCTCTCTCAAAATCTACTTCTAAACTAACCCTAAAACTATAGAGTGAAGCTCTAAACTAAGATAAACTTATGATCTAAGATTATCTCCAATTGCTTTATATTTCTTTCTAATTATCGGGTTACAAGTATATAAATAGGAGGCGCAAAATGAAACTGAGCAAAGCTAGGGCTCGGGGAGGCACACAATAAAGGTGAGCGGGGTCGCACAAGAATTCATATGGCTTAAGCTATTTCCTTTCTCTCCAACTGGAAGAGCTCAAGAGCGGCTAGACAAGGAAGTAAAGCCTAATTTTTGAGAACTTAGGATGAAGTCTGTTTTGGATGTTTTTGTCCCTCGGGAGAGTTACGACTTTAAGACTGGTCGGGAAAAGCCTGTACCTTCAAAAAAACCAAAACTCTAGGTGGGTGGAGCTCCGCCTCTAACTGCCAAGTTTGAATATGCTAGAGAAAGTAAAAAGTGCGGACAAGGTAAAAGTGAGATCTTTTTGGATTCCGAGAACATGAGATTTCTCTAATTTGATAGAAAGGTAGGTGTGATGTAATAAATGATTAAATATGTCCCCTAAATGAGGGAATATCTTCCTATTTATAGGATCATTGGGAATTGTGCTCTTTCGTAGGTCATGTAACCTACATTTGGTGGTCTGCCCCCGTTTTGGCTGCTTTTTGAGGAATTGGGCCTTTGAAGGCCGCCATTCCTTCTCCTAACAGTGGATTCCATGTGTCATCTTGCTAGTGGCCCAATTTGGACCAATACTTGGTGGACACGTAACCTGTTTTCATTGGACCATATGGCGGGGTAATTTTACCCAAAACATTTGCCCTTCATAGATGTGATCTGGCATGCCACGTGGCATCTGTGACACTTGTCACTCATCAGTTGGTGGAATAGTTTTTACTGTTAACCTTCTAGGGAAATTACCAAGGTTTCCCTAGAATTACCCCTCTATAAATACAAAGTTTACCCCTCATTTTTTTGCATATTCACGAATTAGTTTGATAGAGTTTGAGAGAATTTGCTAAGAAAAGAGTGTTATCTGCCGCTCGCTATAGTTCGTAAGCTTCAACAGGCTTAGTTTACTTCAACCAGTACCTTTTATAAATGGTTTCATAAACACACAAGGCACGACTTAGGGTAGCTATCAGCCGGTCACTTAGGATGGCTGAATGTAGGACTAGGGTTGATGTCTGCTCCATTCCTTTGTCCCCCAATCTGACCGAATCTATGTCTCTGTCTATGCAGGACACTATGGCTAGGATGAAAAGAACACCACGGCCGCCTAGTGATGAGGAGGATGAGGGTTCCATAAGGGTGCCTAGGAGAAAAATTCAATATGATGCATTTGGTTCCTTAAGTACCCCAGGCGACTCCATTCTGAGGGAGGCGGATGATTCGGAGGATCCTCCTATACAGGCGCTTCTTCAGGCGGCTCCAAAACTGAACAGGAGTCGCCTGCTAAGTTTGATGAGAGAGGTCAAAGAGAGGCGTTTTCCTCTATTCCAGACGAGTATACCCCCTATTTCACACACATCTCCCTTTCAACCCAGAAACTTATGCAAAAGGGCTTAGATGATTTTCGGGACACCTATATGATAGCGGCCGGATACAAAATCAATATCCCAGCTTTGGGGAACTCAGTACTCTGGCCTCTTAACCAAAGCTACTAAGACTCTAGATTTGGCTTTTATGAGGCAGTGTTATAGGCGGGCCTGCGATTCCCCTTAGATCCGGCTGTTGAGGCGATCCTGGACGGATACCGCTTGGGGGTATGACAACTTACCTCCAATTCTAAGGTTAATATTTTGGGGTTCGTGGCCGGCTGCAGAATGCAAGGCGTCAAACCAAGCTTTGAGGCATTTGCCTCCATGAACTATTTGAGCAAGGCTCCAAAAACATACGGTCCCAGCTGGTATACCCTTACAAGCAATAAGAGTTATATGATGACTCTTGGAAAAGAGTCCAATTGGAAAGACTAGAGAAACAAATTTTACATAATAATATCATCTCTTGATACCAGTTGGAACGCAAAGTTCAACTCTTGGAATCAAAATCCCTATCTTCTAGGCTAGAAAACAATGCTTCCGCCTGTATCTAACGAGGGTTGGGATCAGATTCTGGAGCCTGGTTTATTTAAGGTGGAGACTAAGACCATTAAGGGGAGTACTGAGAAAGGGATAACCTTTAATAGTTATATCCCCAATTACGAATGGCTTATGGACCCAACTTATTTAGCGCATGTGGCCTTAGCATAGAGAAGGGTTAAGGTGGGTAGCAAGAGTGTCTTGTTGTGCATTATTTTTATTTATCCTTCAACGGGAAGAAAATCGCCGGCTCCTATGACTGCCCTAAAGCAAGCGTCTAACTTCAAGTCTTCAAAGGAGACGCCTACTAATGGGATCAACTCTCCTTGTAAGCACGCAATAAATAGCTTCAGGACCTAGTTTTCATCTCAGGTATCTGATACTTGGTCAAATTATTTTTACAAGTGTAGCTTTCCATGTGGCCTCCTAATATCTTAGGAGTTTTTGACTCATTGATGCCGGATGTGTATTCACTAACACCAAAATTTATTAATTACGCAGAATCCCCCTAAGTTTTGAATCTTGAACGGGCGCTGTATAATGTTAATAAAACTGAGTTACTAACTCAGGATATCCTGTATTCGCAGGCGGTTTCCAACTTGAAAGTTAAGAAAGATTTGGAGGCGGCCTAGAAGAAGGTGACTAAGCTTAAGGGAGGAGCTGAAGATAACCCAGGCTGAGCTTGGCAAGCTACAAGAAATCAAAAGGGACACAAATAGTTTCTGTTGGTAGGTCGAGAACTTACAGAAAACTCTTTCCAACCAGGAGGAGCAGCTCAGGTCCAAATATAAGCTCGTGCTGAAGAAGAGAAGTGCCAGCTCATTCAGGAGAATGAGAATGATTGTGTCACTCGAATGAAGATGGCATGGAATGCTCTCTTTCCTAATGACGATTACTCCATTTAGGAGTACCGTTATGGGCAGGCAACTGAAGCCTTGGATCAAGAGCAGTAGCAAGCGGATGAAGGGGACTTGGGTGATGAGGCTGGATTCCAGGAAAATAAACCAGCATAGAACCATCCGACCAATGACAAAGATATGGTGGATGAGAATGAAACGCAGTCCTCCCTCAATGCTGATTAAGCTTAAGTTTTTCTGTGGCCGGATGGCCTTTTTGAATACATTTCTGGCTTGCATGCTGAGTATCTCTTGTTACTTTACTGACTTTGGAGTCGGGTTAATCAAAAATTTATTTTTTCTTTATCTCACCATTTGTTTAGCCGGTTAACAAGTTAACTTTAATTTTAGCTGACCAAGGGGTCAGTTTTAAATGATGAATCATCCGCCCATTAGGTCGATTTTTTACACTTGTGTGTTTAAATTTGAAATTTGAGCTTTGAATGGTATACCGGATTTTTTCCCCCTGGGCGGCTATGTGCTTGGGTCTACAAGTTGGTTAATTGACTTAAAAATGTGTGATACCTAATGGGGTTATAACTGATTTTTCAGTCAATCAATCACTAAGGTGATTTCCCCAAGACAAGCGCGCAGCCGGCCACTTGAGCAACCGGTGCTTATTGAAGGCGGTCATTTTACCTCTTTTCCATAATCGGATGGTTATTCATGCTACAAATATTACAAGTTGCATGAACTAGAATGTAAAGTTATCATAAGTCCGCCTGCTACTCTTTTATTATAATACCAAGTTGTCATATATTTTCCAGGTGGCCTTATGTGCCAACTCTATTTCAAATGGGTTTTTGAGGCTTAGTTATCCTACTTGGGCAAATTTTAATTATGCAATAATACTAAATGTCCGTTTGCCTCTATTGGGAAGACTTGTTTAATTTCGAGAAGTCATCTAAGTTAGAACTCCTATCGATTGCCGGCTGATGTGTCGAACATCTAGCTTTCATCGTCTTGGTCGTTCTTTAGATTACCCTGGTTAGACATCTATGAGGTTACCAATTAGGTTAGTCAATTTTTGTAGTCTTTATGTGCTGGTAGAGCAAAAAGTATAATGCCCTCTGCGACGATAACACGCGGAGGAGCATCGCCGGACGCCATATTTCGCATTGGAGCAGGCAAATTTATAAAATGTGTAACTATTCGGCCACTGGCCTCATGTCTCTTTCAAAAGACGGTTATATAGCCACTAAACCTTATTGGCCTTGAATTATTTGACGTTAGTGTTTAACTTCAATTTTTAATATGAATTTATTAGGTGTAGATGTCTGTCTGTATATCAAACTGGTGGCACATATGATAGGACACATGTATATAGAGGAATAGATAACATAATTTGGAAACAAAAATCAGCTTTTA